GTATTGTTGGTTAGTTGGCTTACCTAGCGGGTCGAATTAGGTGCCATCACGACTTGTGATTTTTGGGTCATGACATAAATACTTATCTTGGTACAACTTATTTTCTTTTGTCATATGAAATTTATGGTTAAATAGAAATAATAATAATAATAATAATAATAATAATAATAATAATAATAATAATAATAATAATAATAATAATAATAATAATAACAACAACAACAACAACAACAACAACTCCAACAGTGTCTCCTTAAAATGGATCATGAGCCAGGCCATCCAATTTAAGTTACTAACGGAACGTGAATCCACTGGACGCCACCCCGTTCAGGTTGGTATAAACTGAACATAGACGGGGCCTTCAAGAAAGGGGACACAAGTAGTGGTATAAGAGGTGTCTTTAGAAATCCAAACGGAGAATGGATTTTAGGATTCACAATGAAAACAACCTCAAGAGCTCCAATCCACACGGAATTCCAAGCCATTTACCAAGGCTACAAATTGCAGAGGAGAAAAAGTTATTTCCCTTGGAAATAGAGACGGATGCTACACGGGTAATTACTTATATTAACGATGAATGTGTAACTTACGACTCTATTATCCAATCATGCAGGTTGCTTCTTTCCGCAATTAACATGGTGGTGATTTAGCATAACTTCAGACAAGGCTAAGAAGTAGCCCATCTCTTGGCAAAGCATGCAAAGACTCTTATTGCTTTCACTAAATTAGGACTTTTGTATTTTTTTCCACCCTATGTCATGGCCAGGATGCTGGCGGACAAGGGAAGAACTGCTTATGTTAAAACTATCTCTATTACTATTTGCAGTCTCCTAGCAAATATTGGTAATCAGCTACATGGGTTATCAACCACTAGTATTGATCCTCAGGATCATGTCTTTTGTAATGCCTATTCCTTATTAAATAAAATGACCAGTTTATAAATATATATATATATATATATATAAGGCAATAAGAATGTAACAACATAAGACAAAAGGTATTAAAAATGTTATCATTATTATTTTCTATCTTTTTATAATCATTCCAACAAATGACATGTCCCTATATTTACGTTATTTTTTATAAGGTATTAACTTTTACTAAAGTATTTTTATAAAACTTCATGTTATCATCTATTTATTGAGCTAAACTAGCTAAATGAGATAAATGGTTTTCATGTTTTAGAACTTATATTTGTTTCTTTAATTTTTGTTCAATATAGCTCACATTATTTAATAAATTTTATGTAATTGTAAAAGTTATATACTAATTGATATAGTGTTCGCTCTAAGACTAGTATAAAGAAAAATGCAGGGTAACGGAGAGAAATAAAATAAAATAACAAGAGCAACGGAGTAAAATATTATGTGGAATTTCCCCCTCCCCTCCCCCCAACCCGAGAGAGAGAGAGTTAGCTGTAGTATTAAATTTCTTATTTAATGGGATTCCTTAATTGTGGTCTGTGGAGGCAGTTTATCTTTAGTCCTTCACATAATCTCTCAAATATGCTAACTTTGTAAAAGAAATCTGTTATTTATAGAATAAATAAAAACTGATATTATTAGTAAAAATAATAGTATTAATTAAAGGATCATCAGTGTAAAAAAACTCATACTTTTCTTGAACTCTTAAAACTGTGTCTATTTTTTCGCTCATTCTAAAAAAAAGTTCAAATTCTTTCAAAAATCAACTTTATTTCCATGTTTTGAATTCACTTTTTTAAATATATTTACTTTAACTCCTACTTTGATCGTTTTTTTTTTTCAAATGGGATATAGCATATGTTAGGACACGGGAAGGGGTCCGGCTCTGCTCCATTACTTTTGACTCCAACAAAGCCAAAAATACAAGAATAAATTAAAAAGCAATCTCAGCCCTTTATAGTTATATGAACTCGTGTCATTCATCTACATGTGTATTGATGTTTATTGGAGCCAAAAGTAATGGAGCAGAGCCGGACCCCACGGGAAGTGTATCACTAAACTAGGAGAGAATTTTGGATATTTACAAGGTGTGGAGTAATGAGAATCTCCACAAAATGGATAGAGATTATATAGTTTGAATCATAAATATCAAAAACTCCAAAGACGAAACCTGTATTTCGATGGGATATTATAAATCTTAGTCTGTGATTTCATTGCCTGACACCTTTTTTCTCTTCAGAGGAGCAAAGACATATTTTTTCTGGATAATTTTGGAATAATTTACTAAAGCTGTATGTTCATATTCTTATATATCCGTATATTTCGAGCATCGAAACAAGTCAGAATTGAGAACATTCCCAATTGTTAGCAACTTCAAATTCCATGGGAAAACCAATAATTGCTGACCATTAGCTTAATTCTTTTTTCACCAAGTGGAATAACGTTTTGAACTTTGAACGCTACATGTTTTTGTATCTCACATGCCATGATATCTCAATTACTTTCTCATAGTTTGGTATGGACTCTCTGAAACTAAAGAAAAAAGCAACAAAAATAAATTAATCTGGCGTGACTACAAAATATCGAAAATAACATTTAGACAAATACTAGAGCGGGAATCAAACTCAAGTGAGCACACGAAAGATGATCAATATGTGCATCAGAAAATTTCTGACCAGTCTGATTGAAAATTACTTTTCCGGACTTTTTCTTTTTTATCAAAATCAAAATTTAAACGACGGCACCAAATAATCCTTTTTTCCTATGATTTCTGTGGTGATACTGATATTTTCTCCTTTTGTCTTTTTGTCCTCTTGAGTCGAGGGTCTTTCGAAAACAACATCTCTACCTCTTCAGGATAGGGGTAAGGTTTGCGTACGCACTACCCTCCCCAAACTCCACTAATGAAATTTTACTGAGTTGTTGTCGTCGTCGTCGTCTCCGGTCAAAAAGTCAATAGTGGCATAGAAATATGAGAAATTTTAATAAAGCACTATCTTTTAGTAGTAATTAGCCATCTATAGATACCATTTGCTATATTACAGATTATAGATACCTTTTATGTGGTTATAAGATGTATTTGATGTATTTAAGCTATTGTATTCATGAATACAGTAGCAAAAATAGACGTGAATCAGGGAAGTCCAGCTAATCAGTTGTTGTATTCGAGTGTATTCGACTGTATTCGTGGAGTGAAACATGGGATTACAGCTGGACAGATTATTGTATTCGACTGTATTCACGGCATGAAATAGAGGATTACACTGTTTTTAAACAGAAAGTGAATCAATTAACATAATAGACTCCTAATATAACTCAACAAACTCAATTATAACACACAAATTTTGTATTTCAAGTTATAAAAAAGATTCTCAACCGAAAAATACCCCAAAAACATAGCAATATTATATTATACATCTGAATACATAAATTATATTAATTAAAAAAATATATGAGTGAATCGAAATATAGCTGCTACACCAAAACTAGGTGCAAAGAACCAACCAGACGGACCCAGTGGATAAATCAGAAATATAGAAACAAAAACAGCAATTGGACTAGAGAATGCGATTGCATTATAAGGTCTCAATTGAACAGATCGAGCAAGCTCGAATTGACGTAACATGAAACCTATTAGGCCAAAAGCTCCATGGAGAGCAACAAAAGTCCACAGATCCCCCAATTGACACCAACGAGTAAAATCTCCTTGTGCTTCAGGACCCCATAGTAACAACAACGAATGTGCTAAACTATTAGCAGGAGTAGAAACCGCGGCAGTGAAGAAATTGCAGCCTTCCAAATAAGAACTGGCCATGGAAGTATAAAATAGGTCAATCTCTCCTATTGAGTCACGTGAAGATGCAGAATAAAAAAGAACTCATTTATTCGTCTTATTTATTATTACCTTGATACCAAAGAAGAGTTCGACCCAATGCTTTATTTCTGTCCTAGTTCCTGATTCGACATTAGAAGTGTATTGATTTTTCCCCAATAACCGAATACTTTTTTCTGTAAATACTGCATATTTGATTCCACCCATTAATCGATTTTCTTCCCTATGAGTTATAGTCTCAATAAGAATGCTCGATATACATTGAAATACAATGAGAAAAGGTAACAGACTCTTCAAATTGCTCAGCCCCAAACTCCGTCGTCTTTGTTCAACAATAACCCTAATATCGTCTCGTCGATAGCAAATTTCAAACCTCCATTGTCAGCCCCAATGTACCAAAAAAAATTCCTTTCAAAAATACCTGATAGTGAGTAATGGTCATGTTTTTGCAACAATTACTCCTGTATTTGATGTAATTACTCCAACAAAGCTTTTCTGTATTTGCGTAATCTTTGAGTAATTACATCAAAGATTACTCCTAATGTAATCTAATGGTCATGCTTTCTGAAAAAATGATCCACAATGGCTCCTTTTGAATGACAGCGTGACGGAGGATTCCCGGCTTAGGGTTGCTTCTGTCGTCGGAAGAGTCGGTGACGACGTAGAATTGGTCGGCATTGCCGATGGTGGTCCCTTTACCAAAGCCCATTGCACAATCTGCTAAATTTTCATTGTCAGGCCCAATTTACCTTCCAATAGCGAATTTCGAACCTCCATCTTTCTCTCTAGGGCTTGATTTCGACATTGATTTAGAGCCCCAGGCCAGTGACAATGAAAATTTCGTTCGACAATTGAGATGAATCAGTAGAGAATCATGGTTGTATTTATGGAGAAAGACAGGCGTTGAGAGAGAGAGGGTGGAGAAAAATCTGAAGGAATGAGAGAGAAAAATAATACAAAGCGTATTTTATGGCTTAAGGGTAGGAAGTGACAATAAATAGATATTTGGCTATAAAAATCAAAAGATAGCTATGGAATATAATTTTTTAAAGGGTATTTATTTAAAATAAATAAGGTATCAACATTTGCTATAGGAGTTAAAAATTCCTAGAAATATTTTATTTGTGCAAATTGCGTGTTTGTATTATTTGGGCTCAAATTATATAGTGGGCTTTTTTGGATTATAAGAAGACTAATTAAGGTAGGGACAGCCTACTACAGCCTATTTATTTATGACGTTAACCTCTTTTACCGTGCCCTAATATATTTTCCTCCACGTTTATATCATTTTCTTTCTTTGAAAACATTTCCTAATGGCGACAGCAGCATTGACAATCTTGGCCGTCCTAGCTCTGTTTGCAGTTTCCTCTTTAACGGCGGCGTCGGAAACTCCATTTGTAGTGGCACACAAGAAGGCATCTGTCGTTAAGCTCAAGTCCGGTTCCGAACGTGTCTCCGTTTCCATTGACGTCTATAACCATGGATCTCTGTTAGTACTCCTTGCTCTTTTATTTTTTACCGCTTTATGTAACCTTATACTCAAATCCAAAAGCGCAAAATGTATGTTTCTGTATGTGTATGCATGTGTGTTGAACAATCTGATTCCTTTCTTTCTGAAACTTTGTTTATATTAGAATGGATTGTTTGTAAGATAAGTCTGAATTGAATGAGGGAATTTGGGGTCAATTCAATTTTTCTTTTTAATTTAAAGTCAGTAACAGTCTAATTACTCAGCTCGACCCTTTAGTGCCAAAAAAAAACCCGGCATTTTGGTCGTCTATTTTTCTCATAGAAAAATAGTTAAAATTGGACCTGGTATGATTTAAAATATCTTAATAGGAAATGTATTTTGTGGAAAATATTTTATCTTTAGAAATCATTTCTAGATGGTTCTTAATGTTTGGAGGGTATAAAAATAGATGGCATGTACAGGGTAGGTGGAGGATATGTTACGAGACTTGTGCATTTTAACATACTAGTCTCTCGACACGTGTACACTAAATTATATATTATATAATTTTTGTAATAATATAAATATTATAAAATAATTATCTGAATAAATAAATACACATAAATAATAAATATAAAGTTTTGCGAATAATCAAGCAATTCGTTAGTATGGTGAATTATTTGTCCAGGTCAAAAAAGATTAGATATAGTCTCAATATACGGAGATGAACAATCAAAGTTTAATTAAATAATATCATAAACACCAAGAATATTTAACTTATCAAAATGTTGGATATGAAATTAACTTCATAGAAAATAGGTGAATACTCTTATATTTGATACACTCCGTCCATTTTAATTTGTTAGTTTTAATTTGACTTGGCATAAAGTTTAATAAAGAAATGAAGACTTCTAAAACTTATGATCTTAAATATGCCCTAACATTTGTGTGTCTATCAAACTTTTGAAACTTGTGGTCTTAAAAGAGTCATAGCATTTGTCTGTTATAATAACTGTTCGTTAAGAAAATATAGGAATGTGCCGATATTTTGAAACCGACTCATAAGAAAATGTGCTAATATTTTTTAAACGAAGGGAGTAGTAGTTATCCGTTAATGAACAAACCATCTATTAGGGGAATTCTTTTGATAAATCTTGTGATATGTACTAAAGAAATAATTAAAAAGAAAGGGCATATTAATAATAATCAGACAAATATTAACTTGGTGCAATACAAAAAAAATGGACGGAGAAAGTTTTTTCCCACTCACATGTTAACTTTAAAACTTGCTAAATCTACCATAAAAAGTTTGTCCTTAACCAATGGCTCCAATATCCAAAAATAAATAATAAAATTGGTAATTCCATAGTAAGTTCATGGTCACAAAGAGCGAGATGAAAACAGGCTAGTTGCACGTCCGATCCACATTATTTAAAATTTACAACACTCCAAAGAACAATCGGTGTAACCCTATATGTAACTACTGCAATTTCAAAGACCGTCTTAACAAAACTAAGAACAATAGTTTCCAACCCGATGCTTACATTGTTTATCATATAACAGAAATAATATAGGAAAAAAAGGATGAAACACTGATTTAATTTTTCTATATTAATTGACTACACAATTAAGGAAATAGAGTTAAGGAACTTGTATTTATCGTATCTGCTAATTAGTTTATTGCAAATTTTGATAATTCTCTTTCTTTCTGCCACTGCGGGTGGCTATGAAACCAAGCTCTAGAATATGTTTGTCCCAACCTCCCTTATTCTCTTTTATTTACAAATTTTGCTTCATGTCCCTTCAAAAATAGCAAGGGTAAATAGGATATATTCTTAACATTACTGACTTATCTGAAGGGTAACATCCCTTCAAATAAATTTTCATGTTTTTTTATTTAATATTTCGTATTTGTAGGATAGTTAGATTTTAAGAAGGACATTTAAGTAGTTTAAATTTTTAGTTTAAGGGTTTTCACTTTTATAATTATTAGTATCTTAGGATGTGCTTTTTATGTGAATGCAAGTCTTGTAATAATGATATTTTAAAATATTACACGAAGGAATAAACTAAGAGTTTGTATGAATGATCTATACAGATCGTCGTATGGTGAGTTGTTTGTCGATATCAAATAATTTTTTAACACCAATCATAAAAATCACATTTGATTTATGGTTATATTTATAAAATATTTGTTTGATTCTATAATATATATATATATATATATATATATATATATAAAAGGTAATCTTTAGTCATTTATTTTCCTTGGTTGGCTTAAATGTTTTGAAAAATATTTTTCTTATGAATTTATTTTCCTACCATTGGAGGATATTATTTTCGTGATTGAGTTCTTAAAATTTTTAATATTAGAAATGATAATCATCAAAAGATATGATTGGATAATTAAATTAACTAAATAAATGCGTAAGAACTGTTAGTTTTCAGTTTTCACCATATCAATAGAATAGAATAAAATTGGAAAAGAGAGCAAGAGATTAGTTGAAATACAAAGGATTCTTTTAAAGGATGACAAAAGAAAAAGGAAATCAAATGCAATAACAATTTCGTTGGTTCTGAAACCAAACACCACAAAATATAGTTTTGGAATATAATTAATCCTTGTTTGAAACTTGGAACTAAAATTAACTTAATAGCACTACAATTGAAATAGAACAGAATAGGAAAAAAGAGCAAAGGAAATTAATTGAAATAAAGATGATGACAAAAGAAAAAAAGAACAAATTTGATACCAATTTAGTTGGTTTTGAAACCAAACACCGAAAATATAGTTTCGAAATTGATATTTATTTGAAACATGAAACCGAAAGAAAATGATTCATTACACGCATAAACCTAAGAAAACTTAATAGCACTGTAAAATCAACATTAGCAGATAGTCAAGAATAAGATATTGATAAGACTTTGTATTTATATATTAAAAAAGATACCATATAAATTTCTATCAAAGTATCTATATAGGTGCAGTTTACTAAAATCTACCTTAAATCATCCTTGCCATTTTCTTAAGTATATTACTTCTTTGCTTGTGCTATTTGTGGCATCATATATTCCTTCAAGTGATATAGTTCTTTGACAATTCAGAAAACGTGATCCATGAAAATCAGAGCAAAATTACCTGGCCACCTTCTTGCACCTATGATCCTGTTCTATATGAAACTTTAACTTAGTTATCCAACATCAAGTATTCCGTGAAAAAAAGGCATTCAGATGATACACTCTCGCGGTCCTTAAGAGGTGTAATTAAGATTGCAATAATGAACTGACTTTGAGTTTCTTAAAAACGTGATATTGGGTTTTTCTTAATGCAGATTAATGTTAAAAGGTTGGCTTTCTTCACAATTCAATGGCTGACACAAACTTGTATATAAGAATGTAGCTTTTCATTACAAGCCACCAATAACTAATTTTAGAACTCAAACGATTAGTTGCAAAATTGGAGGGTCACAACCTTTCGAGAAAGACAAATCCAATTTAGCTTTTAATATCATTTAAATACTATTATTAAATAATAGTAGTTATTTAGAAGGGTATTTTGGTAATTCAACTTTTAACTTTTGAGGTTCCCACTTTTATAATAGTATAGATAAGCGATGGGTGAAGAAAGTGACATGAAGTAAGAACTGGAAACTTCAAAGAAAATCACGTCATGTTTACTACTGTTTATATATACTTTCCATGTAAATAGTACTCCTGTATTTTCTACTAACCGATCATTTGCGTGCTTAAAGACTGTCAATGTCATATGGATGGCTCTAGTAATTTGCGTCCTTAATAGTGAAATTACTATGATGGAGTTACTTGATTAAATTTTTTTGTTTTACTATGATGGAGTTCATAGCGGCTTTTGCATCTTCTTGTCTTCAATCTTTCTTTCTAGTCTTGCTTGGGAATTTGAGCTGTGACACTTCTGACAATTCATAAAATATTAGGAATATTCTCCAATGGGAAAAGATTTATATCATTTTATGCTAAATTCTTTGATCTATCTTAATTTGCACAAGTTAATCGCCATAATTCATATTGTTCTCATATTTTAATCCTAAACATGTATGGCATGTTAATATATGTTTGCACCTGCGTTGGCTGCTGGATCAACGTACCACAAGTCGTGTTTTTATTTGTGATATAGTAAAGCTTACATACTGCATACCTATTTACTTGAGTGGGTGTGCACATCACTACGAGGTCCTGCTTTCACCCTTCATGTGGAAGGATGATAAGTTCAATCTATCTGAAAAGACTTTGTTTATCTTTTGTGAACTTGTGCAGTGCTATATATGATGTAAGTCTTACTGATGATAGCTGGTCTCCGGAAATATTTGATTTTGTGGCTGCAAACACCTCTCAGTCATGGGAAAGACTTGATGCGTAAGTTAAATCTTTTGCACATTCAAACTTGTATTCACTTCCTATTACTTGAGGCCTATGCCTCTCCAAATTTTCCTCGAGTTTGTTTGTTTCATTTAGTACAATTCTTTTGCTACATGTGATTGGCAGTGGCTCTCATGTTTCACACTCTTTTGAGTGGGAGTCCAAAGTGAAAACAACTTACTATAGCGCGCCTGCTGCCATAACATTCCGTATCCCTACGACATCAAAACTACAGGTTTGATTAATGAAAATCTGTTAGGAGAGACCTATTGGTTGCCTTCAGCTTTTATTTCTCAACTTCTACTTTTGCCATGCATTGACCATTTGCAGGAAGCATATTCTACCCCTATTCCGCCACTAGAAACCTTTGCAGAAAAAGCTGTTTCCTACAAATTAGATTTGGTAACATTTTTTTTCCTCCTTGCACAAGCATGAATTAAGGGTTCCTTCTAATTGTTCTGTAACTATTTTTTGCTGTTCTGACTCATTGTCTCTTCTTTTACCAATCTGACTGGTTTGGACTGGCTGCACACTCTCAGGCAAAGGTAATTTGAGACCTCTTCTTTATTATCTACCATTTCTCCACTGCTCAAATTCTCTACATTTCACTTGCCACAAAATGGAAAAAGCAAGTGGGGGATTATGGAGATGCCTTTCTGTTAGTTTATATGGGGAAGTTGTTTCAGGAATAGGGAAGACCAATGTAGGAGCTATATCCTATTCGGAATAGTTCAAATTCTGCTCAAATTCTCTACATTTCACTAGTATTATATATACTCTCATTACCTGTAGTGACAGCTATGTTAATGTCCTCTTTTCCAAGGTGATACGAAAATCTGTTTATAATACTTGTTGTCTTTGTGCAGAAGCTGCTCTCAAATTATGGATCCCATGTTTCTGTATTTCTCATCGTCCTATTGTTCGTGAGAGTTGTTTCTACTCCATCAAAGTCAAGTGCTGGGAACGCGAAGAAAAAGCACTGATATTCTGTTACAAAGGCATAGCCCCATATAGAAATCGTTTTTTAAGCTAGTGAAAGGAAATGTCTCAGCGAGGATACACATCTCAACTGTAAATCCTTGTAACTGCATTTTGACGAACTGAAAAATATATCGCATGAGTCCTACTAGAGCTGCCTGCAAAATTTGTATGACTAACAACTACTGAATTCCGACTTCTCTATGCAACTTTGGAGATGCTCACCTTGTCCAATTCTTAATAACCTATTTTCACCAATTCCAACTATGCTAATCAGTTTGGCGTATAAATCAATAGACGTTCACAACTCAAACTCGAAAATGGGTAGTTATTTAGACATGAAATTTTCTATATCATTCAAATCCAAAAATGTTGATTTTAAGAGGTCATTAATTGTGCTAACAATCCTAAATTTGCTGGATTAACATCCCTGAATGTGATGTGCAAGGTACTTACTCTGATTCACTGGTGTGAATAAGGAAGAGGCATCCACTTCAGTAGTATACAATGCATGCAAGTATAGTATTGATATTTATATTTTATAAGATCCTCAAGTATTTGCGTACACACTACCCTTCCCAGACCCCACTTGTGCACTTTGAAATTAGTATAGAATTGTAGGTAGTGATGTTCTTAAGCCCCTAAACTAAGCCTCTCCGGACCATACAATTGCGCGTCATCAGGGGATAACCACCAAAAACGTAAGTGTTGCAGAGCTAGGAGAACAGCTAATAGTGCCAAAAGCGAGAACCGGTTTATCTTCCACGTCAGAAAAAATCAGTTGTGTAAAACATAACAGAAAGACCAAAATACCTCTGATTTTAATACAAAAAAAAGTAGTTTGTTGTAATTGCATAAGCAGGACGACGAAGAGCCCCAACTCTCGCTTCTAAATAGGAGGAATATAAGTAAAACTTCATAGTCTAAAATTAGGAGTATATCATCATGTCATACAAACATTTTGATCACACGAGTCCACTTAAATCCATAATCTAATCAACATCTTTTCTCAAATGTGTGGTAAAACTTTATAATTATGATTATTGAGCCGCCAAAAGAAAAAAAAATCCATTTGTTTCAATTTAAATGTCACACTTATTAGTTCATTTCAAATGAATGACACATTTCTATATTTGAAAACAATTTAACTTTAAATTTTTTATTGTACCACTTTATCATTACTGAGAAGTTTTTATAGTCACACAAATATCATGACCCAATAAAGTTTTTGCCCCTTAAACTTTTAGGATCATATATTCCAAAAAATTATTTTTTTTCTCTTAAACTTTGTGTCAAGTCAAACTGGATGTATAAAATGAAACAGGGTGCCGGAAATGAGAAGACAGCAACCGCCGCATAAGTGGTGGAGCTAGCCGGTATATGGATCCCACCACACCGTTCAATCTTATAATCTCAGTACGTGTGACGTGGCATGCATCTAGAACTAAATATATAAATGACCTTTTACGTTCCACAAAATCTTCCCTCCCACTGCCCACTTCTTTCATCTAAAAAAGAAACTGAAAATTCCCCCTTCCATTTTTCTTCTTCACTTCCCTTTTAATTTCACAATTATCCATACATCTATACTACTCTCCTCAATGTACGCCTTTTTCTTCACATTCTCTTCCCCGAAACCCTAACCGGAGTTGTCAAATGTCGGAGTTTCCGTCACCGGAGGACGACGGAGCAATGGTTGCACACGACAACGTCGGCTCCAAACGCCACCGTCGTCCCAGCGTCCGTCTAGGAGACATCGGCGGCTACGATTCTTCTTTCGAACAACACCAGCGAAGGCCCAAATCTCTCATGAAGTCTCCGTCCAACAAGGTTTCCAAAAATCATCATCTCACCAACTTATCAAGTAATCAAACCCTAACCCTAGTTGATACTAACCCTAATGGCAATAGCAATTTTAAGAAAAAATTGAATAATAGGAGTAATGTTGAGGAGGAGGGTAACGGGGATGCAAATTTGGATAATGTTGCCATTGGTAGTTGGAAAATTAGGAATTTGAAATCCAAGAAAGGTCCAATAACCAAGAAAATGAGGTCTTGTTGGGCTACCAAAGATGACAAAATACTCAGTACTGATGTGGGGGATTTGGAGAATAATGAAAACTCAGAACATAGCCCAGTTCATTCCCCTGACAATAATATAGATATTGACATTTATAGAGGAATTGGTAATGTGAATGGTAGGAAGACGGCGACTAGGGTTTCAGAGGAGGGCCCAACTACTGATACAGAGGCCCGAGATTGGAACTGGGGTTCACAGAGGAATGGGGTTAAGGTGTGGCTGAACCAGCTGGGACTTGGTCGGTATGCCTCTCTGTTTGAGATTCATGAGGTTGACGATGAGGTTTTACCAATGCTAACGTTGGAGGATCTTAAGGATATGGGAATCAGTGCAGTCGGATCCCGAAGAAAAATTTATTGCTCAATTCAGAATCTAAATAAAGGGTTCTCTTGAGTGGAGGAGCATGACCTGTAAGGCTTTTGTAGTTGCATAGACTTACTGTTGAAATTTTGCTGATCATTAGCATTATTTGCAGCTTAACCTCATATTCTTGCAGATATTTTAGTAGTTTAGACTTTAGAATGCACTTCTGATATACTAGTGTGGTTTTGTAGTGTATAGTGCTCTAACTGTTGGTAACATCTTTGTTAATTTTGTCCTAAATAGATCAAAACTTTGAGACCTGCAATATAGAGATGCGTCATTCATAAATGAACGGTAGTTGTTAGTTTTCCAAATAAATTTGATGTCCAAACATCATTTCAATCTTATTTAAGCGCCACGGGTGCACATTGCTGCTACTTTCCAAATGACCCTGGGATTGTGCTATTGGCATTCTTTTCCTTTCTTAGAGTACCTGCAGCATTCAGTGAATTATATCTTCAATATATTGTAGCATGAGGAGCTCTAGAGAACATTTTCTTTGTGATAAGGTAGAAAATTGTTTTATGGGAAGGAGCTCTAGACAACATTCTCTTCAGCCATTATCTAATGTGTGGTTAATTTGGATTCAGTAGCCAATTTTGTACTTGGTGCTGCAGAATTTTGGTTATTGACGTGTTTGCTATATTGTTGGGTCTATATCATCTGTGTGAAACTAATATTCTGTGAATAAACTTATAGTGGTTTGCACTTCCTATGTGTTCTTATACTTTTGTATGTCCATGTCAAGATCATATTTGTATGAACTGTGTGGTACTGACTTTTAACTTTTTGCTTGGTTTTGGGAGTTGGCAATCATAATGTGAACTCTGAGCTTCACAGTTAGTCTCAAAGATTTCTTGCTTAAGTGAAACTGTTGTGGGGCTGTCATGACCTAAGCCCGTGGCACAAATTGTCCGCCTTGGGCCTAGGCCCGCACGGATTTGCCTTTTTGGGCTACGCCGCCTCGAGCCCCAAAAGCGCGCGTCCGTGCATGCCTAGGCTCAAAGCGGACAATTCTTGCCACGGGCTTAGGCCATGACATATATGTTATCAGAGCATGTGATGCCCATGACGGAGGGCGGGCCGATGAGGGCGGGTCAAGTAGGACTTGCAGACTTTTAGCCTGGCAAGTTTTTGAAGAAGGGGTGTATATGTCACCTTAGACGAACCCCACGTCGGAATGGGAGAGGAAAGTGAAGAGCTATATAAGGAATGACACAAGTTCACATGGTACGCGCACTTTTGGGGCTCGAGGCGGCGTAGCTCAAAAAGACAAATCCATGCGGGCCTAGGACCAAAGCAGACAATTCGTGTCACGTAGGGCTGTGCATCGGTCGGATCGAATCGGACTTAGCACATTTCGAATTGTAAATTCGGATTTCGGATTTTATAATATGCAATCCGAATCCAATCCAAATTTAATTGGATTGGATCGGGTTTTAAAGTTTGGATCGGATAATTATTTTTGATTTTCTAATCGGATTGTACGCCTTATTAAGGCTACTAACAATCTAATCGGCTACTGCACTTTTTAAGGCTACTGCTATTCACCATTCTATTAAATTGAAAGGCAACAAATGTCTTTCATAGCCATAGACAAAACAAAAGTTTCATAGCAAAATAAAATAAACTGAAATTCCAAACAAATGTCTAATAAGGGAGAAGCGTTGTTGTCCGTCAATAGGAAGAAGAGACTCAGAATGAGAGATACAAAAATAAGACTTAAGAGAAGCAGGCAGAGCAATTTGACAGAAGTTAGAGATGAGGGGCTTCGATATAAACTAAGAAAAGAAGAGTCTAAAGAGAGGCAGATGAAATAAGAAGACTTAACCCTAAAATGCAAGTCTATTATTTATACATGTCCATATAATTCGGATTTCGGGTCGGATTGGATTAAAATTATACCAATCCGAATCCGATCCGAATATCCCAACTTTTAAAAAACGTAACCGATATCCGATCCGACTATCCAAAATCTGAATAGAGTGGATCTTTCAGATTTTCAGATATCTGATTCAAATGCACAACACTTGAGCCACGGGCTTAGGTCATGACAAATATGGTATTAGAGCGCCAGCATATTGAAGCAGCTCCTGCTCCTAGTGTGGATACTATGCATCCACCTCCCTCTATCATGAAAAACACACATCATTCAGCACAAGAATTGGTAGTACAGAACATGCTCAATCATTCAGCTGTCAAATTTGTGCCAATGTGCTGTTACCCGACCGAAAATTCGTGAACCAAATTTTTTGTTCTCATCCTTTCTGTGTCAATTGTATCATAAAGTACATCACTCTCAACCTTGAGAACAATATAGAATATATTCTGTGTCCCTGCCCGGATTGCGACTAGCAAGCTTGCTAAAAGTCACGTCGTTTTCGTCTGTCAACTCCTCGCATTTTAACCCAGAGTGCCACGGAATCATGCAGCGAAAGCAAAAACTTTTCTTACAACTGGAACATATTGAGCGCTTAGCTTTTCCCCACAAGTGTCCAGAACCAATGCCCCACATTTCTGATTTGGACGGTAACAATGCGGAAACACTGAAACAGAGGACCGACATAGCACATCTCCCCATTTCACAAATAGCTCTGGACCCACAAGATCCCGAGAGGATATGGGGTCTAAAAGCTGTTACCGTCCAAATCAGATGGCATTGATTATGGACACTTAGTGGGGAAAAAGCTTAGCACTAAATTTGTCCCAATTGTAAGAAAAGTTTTTGCTTTCGCTGCATGATTCCGTGGCACTCTGGGTTAAAATGCGAGGAGTTGACAGACGAAAACGACGTGGCTTTTAGCAAGCTTGCTAGTCGCTATCCAGGCAGGGACACGGAATATGTTCTCAAGGTTGAGGGTGATGTACTTTATGATACAATTGACACAGAAAGGATGGGAACAAAAAATTTGGTTCACGAATTTTCGGTCGGGTAACAGCACATTGGTACAAATTTGACAGCTGAATGACTGAGCATGTTCTGTCATTACCAATTCTTGTGCTGAATGATGTGTGTTTTCCATGATGGAGGGAGGTGGATGCATAGTATCCACACTAGGAGCTGCTTCAATGCACTGGCGCTCTGATACCATATTTGTCATGACCTAAGCCCGTGGTATGAATTGTCCGCTTTGGGCCTAGGCCCGCAGGGATTTTCCTTTTTGGGATACGCTGCCTCGAGCCCCCTAAAAGCGCGCGTACCATGTGAACTTGTGTTTCCTCTCCCATTCCGATGTGGGATTTTTCTAAGGTGACATGTGCACCCCTTTTTCAGAAACTTGCCAACCTAGAAGCCTGCTAGTCCTACTTGACCCTCCTTCATCGGCTCGAGAGAAGAAAGTGAATGAGCTATATATGGAGCGCGCTTTTGGGACTCAAGGCGGCGTAGCCTAAAAAGGCATATCCGTGCGGGCCTAGGCCCAAAGCGGATAATTCGTGCCGCGGGCTTAGGTCATGACAGGGGCCCAACCACATTGCTGTGGAACTTTTTTTTAGATAGAATGACAAACCACATGGAAGACATACTTGAGTTACAGTGACCCTGCTGAGCACTTTGTGTTGCATAATTGATGTTTAGGAAGTGCTTCTTCATCGAAAATGAGATTAGGTCTGCCTCCTGATCAAGATGGTCATTTGTTAACCATCAGAACAGTTGGCTTGTCATCACAAGTAGAGGACAGGATGTGAAGTGAATATCTTTGTCCTCTTTGCCCTTATATGGCAACCGTAAGCAAAAACTCACGTGCAAGCACAGACAAGCCTATCCTCTCCAAAAGTGGGATGTTAGTGCCCCCCCCCCCCCCCCCCCCCCCCCCCACACACACACAGACGGATCTTGGATTCTAGGTCAGTGGATGTGGGTGCCATTGTAGTTGGTGCGAACTTAGTATATACATATTTTCTTAAATAATATTGGACCACAGTTACTGCTCATTTAGAGGCTGAACTTCAATGCGCCCATTACAACCTTACATCGTCCCCTGCTTGCCCTCCCAAACTTCCCTGCATTAGATTCAGTTTTTGGCGGAAATTGTGGTCGGAAATGCTTCCTTTCTCTTTGGTGGGTTTTTGACCGGCTTTAGGAGAAAGGGAATCTGCTGTCAGTGTGATAAATATCAGCGCAAGCGAGCTTCTCTTACTTTGTCCCAAATTAGTTGTCTTGTTTGCGAGACAAACTATGTGAACTTTGACTAATGTTATAAAATGTATTTTTTCGATCATTTTGATATGAGAAAAATTGCACGTGTAGTACTTGCTGAATAGTTTGTGAATGTCTAAATTTAATTTTAAAATATTGAGTTTATCTAATCTAATTTAGTCTAAAAAATTAGTCAAATTGACTCTCTAGAAGTAATACTTGACAACTAACTTGGGACGGAGGGAGTACAAGTTATTGATTATTCTGAATCCACAGCGTAGAAGATTCTGCAATTAATCTTTGGGTGCTCATCCAGAATCTTTCTTCAAGAAAGCTGTACCTGAGAACAGCTCCAGAACTTCTGAGAGTTCTGCGTTTCACATAGGTGGATTTTCAGAATGTTTTGGGACTAGTATTGAAACGAGCGAACTGATTGTTTAGATTGTTTTGTTATTCTATGTGCTTCAGCTCACCTTTTATTTGCTTCTTGGAGTTCTGGGCCAGCAAGGCCACCAGATTCGTGCAGAACCCTATATATCTTCTAGAGCCAGCAAACTGCAGTTTCTATTCTAGCTAGTAATTCTAATTTTGAGTCCTTTTGTATGGCCAGATGGTTTCTCGACTTTGACGGAAGTAGTCAGGTGGTATGAAACATGATCCTGGACAGATAATGGTTCTTTCCACGCGTTTATGGACTTGATGTGCGTGATAGCTCAATTTAGTAGTACACCAATTCTCCTGATTGATTGGACGCATTATGCCTATTATTTTGGGCAACAACAAAATTAGATTGTCGCCCGAAATAAATTATATTCGCTAGCTAAAAAGTATATTAAAAATATATATTATTTGTATATTTTATATATATATATATATATATTGTCGACTATTACTTTAGGGAGAGGCTAAAAATATACACTGCCTAGTTGTAGCAGAACGTTGGAACTGCTTCTCTGTTTTTGGACTGAGTTGGGTGCAGCGCCAGCCTCAGTCAATAAGAGATGCCTATGAATGCTGGAGTTTTTGTGGAGTTGATAAAGCTATCAAAAAAGTTTGGAGGATGATCCCAGCTACTACTTTTTGGTGTTTGTAGAATAAAAGGAACCATAGATGTTTCGATGGAATTTCGACTCCAACACACACTTTGAAGGCTAGCTGTTTAACCAACCTATACAGCTGGTGCACTCTTGCCCCTGTAAATTGCCCAATTAATTTTTTGGATGTTGTTAGCTTCTTAAACTTAGCTTAGCAACCATTGTACCGGAGCAAACACTACTTTTTCTTTTTGTATATATATATATATATATATATATATATATATATATATTTCTGTATTAGATTTTTCTGATACATTTCTGCATAGTTCCCATATAGATCAATAGAGGGCCTGTAGCATGGGGGAGCTAGCATGCTGATCAGTTATATAATATTTGTTTTACTAAATTTAGTTAAATTCTTTCTTTGCAAAGAGATGTAAGAATCATTTTGCGAGGATGTAAATACTTGGATTACGGCAATGTGGTAGTTAAGAAATATAAGTGGCTTTTTATCACCATGGTTATTTCTAGCTCTCATTCTGAACCGATATCGGATTACTTTTCAGACTGCTCAATTGCCATATTATAGCAATGCGGTGGTCCTGAAAAATAATGGCAACCATGTTCATTTCTGGCTTCTCCTTCAGAACAGAATATCTTATATCTTCCAACTATATACGTCAGAAGTGGTGGAGCCATTGCCCTTGCTGCTCATTGAAAAAAGAATTGAAGAACTCCAATGGTGTGTGTTTTGAAACAGGAAAGGGGAAAGAAAAAAACCGAAAAAGAACAAAAATATGAATTTTATATCTCAAGATGAAATTTTGTTGCTGAATGACGCCATCAATTAAATGGATAAAGAGCCTAAATTTTCTAATCCATAAAATAATGCCAGTTACTGCTTGACTTCTTCATTTCATGCTAAAACCAACTACCCGTAGAAGAGAGGTGCTAGCTGATATACATCTAAGAGGGTTAAACTTAAAAAAGAATATAATCTGTCCCATACAAGCCGCCAAAAGAATACAAAAATAAATGGAAAACTCATGTCGTATAATTTGGTAAGAGCCACCTTAACCTTCCACGTGCCTCGTCAACAAGGCTTAAACCAACGTTGTTTGTAACATTCACAGGTCTCAAGCGCTGCAGATTCTGAAGACAGTTGAGTGGTCAAAAAATGCACATAAAAGAAGATTGGCAGGCTATCTTCCAACGGCACGCCAGGCCCTTTTCACAGAATAACCCTCAGTGGTCTAATGATCTTATTGTTAGCTCAGTTTTCTGATTATCAATTTATTGGTAACTGTGCAGAGTTGGCCATGTCCTGGATTGTGCTCCAAAGGATACATTGTAGTGCCTTTCACATATTTGTGGTGTTCAACGGCTGCTTTTCTAAGATTTGACATGTCCACATTCTTTCCTTTCTGTTTCTTAATGATGGAACATGTAGCCAAAAGATTGGTCGATCCGGCTCCTACCCTCCTGTAGAGACATGCAGACCGAGCTTAAATGAAATTGTCAAACAATTTGGATAAAGAAACTTGAGATTCATTGGGATGTGGATTTCTTGACAATTGAATTAACGGAAAAGGTCCTGATATACCCCTTTAGTATTAGAAACTGTTTAAAATTATCCCTCGTTATACTATTGGATCAGAAGAACCCCTACCGTTTTACTATCCAAACAAATATACCCGTAACTTGACGTACTGGACACGTGGCACTCATCCAAGGCTTTTGGTCCATCCGGAGTTAGATGAGATGCGACCCGCCTCACTACCCGTCGCAAACTCGATATTTGAACTTGAAGCTTCGAGCTTCTTTAATGGAGTTTTAAGCTTATCTTCGAGTTTCACAACTCCAATCCAATGGACATTTCAACTCCAGTAGAACACCCAAACGAGATTTCAGCTCCAAGGTATCCAATAAACGTAATGCTAAAACCATCATATTTAACTTCGAAGAACCGAACCTGCCAAGCTCAAAAAGTTTATAACCCACAGTACTTATTGACAGTAGCTCTTACGATTTAAAAATCCAAAGAAAACCCTCTCGTGTTTTAATTTGCACAAAACTCCAGTTAGTTGTTCCAGGCAGATCAAAATATTGATGTAAAGAGATATATGGGACTCATATATATTGAGACCATTCAACTATCGAATTCAAAAAGGAATTCCTAATAGGAAGAGACTATATCAGCCTGGAGAAACGTCAATTAGCGGCAAAAGAAGTCGATTACAAATACCAGCCAAAGTTAAAACCCAAATAGATGAAATATTGGCGGAACATTGATCAATGATTAAGTTTCATTTTGAGAGAGAGAAACACACCAGTTCGACGAGGAATTACTTGGCCGGTTAGGGTTTGTGAATGGGGCGGGTTGCATCTCATCTAACACCGGATAGACCAAAAGCCTCGGATGAATGCCACGTGTCCAGTCAGTTAAGTTAGGGGTACATTTGTTTGGATAGTAAAACGGTAGGGGTTCTTTTGATCCAATAGTATAACGGGGGATAATTTTAAACAATTTTTAATAGTAGAAGGGTATATCAGGACCTTTTCCGTTGAATTAAAGGTTATTGCGGCAGCAGGAAATATGATCATTTACCTCAGCAATTTCTCTGATGCAATTCGGGCAGCAGTGATTGAGCTGCGGCTGGGTAACCACTTCACAACACGATTTGGATCCGCTCGCATTGGGGAATGGATTTTAATAAGCTTTAAAATTTTGATAAAAGTTAGATTGGCAATTTATCAATGAAAGAAACTCATAATACTGTGAAAGAAAAAAAAAAGTAACATTAGCTGGAAATGGAAGCGCCCGAGTGCTTTGTTACTAGTTCTCTTACGACTGTTTCTCAATTTTCTATTTTAGGGTATAATTTTAGTGTTCCTCCAGGATGTATCTAGACCCTTG